GTGGGCTGGCCACAACGTCTTGCAGCTAGTGGACCACTCAATTAACAAATTTGTATGGCTGAAAAATACCACATGAGTAGGAGTTGTAGATGGATAAAGATATCAAAAAATAGATGAATAAGTTTGGAATTGGATGTATGGACAGCGTCCATGTAATGGTTGCACACACTATCATGTTCGTTGAGCGCTTGAGGACGAAGCGAAGCGTTATAAATACATATACTATTTCGTCACAGAATAGTCTAATACTGTTTCAGGTAGTTTGTTTTGTCAACACAATAGTTGAGAATCCGAATGCAAGTATTAGACACCAGTTTCGTACGGAACTTGATATCATCGTTCTATCAGTACGATAGTTTCCTATAGAATTCAGGGTGGCCTGGCTTTAACACAGGAGTTTAGGTACTGATGTTGACAGCCAGCTAGTTCAAATTTGTACGAACGAACATTCATTGTATTTCTACCTATTCAGTGAGAATGAATTCGTGACTCAGGCATGAGATTTAGTGGAATTACTTGTACATTATCGCGGCTATAGGGAGTCATTTCCAACTACTGATTAATGTGTGAGTAGTTAACAATAAGCTTTAAAATTTCCAAGGTGGAACCTGAGGTAAACGTAATTGAATGCTTCCGATCAACGGCAGAAAAAGATGGAATTTATTTCCGAGAATTTCAATTTTGGTACCAATCGTCTAAAATTTTATCGGATAAAAGGATAAAAAGGATTGCCACTGTTATTGCAAACGAAAAGCGTGTGTTCAGTGCGTCCCTTACACGAATTCGTAAATCTGTGATGCGTCCGAACAAAACACTCCTGAGGAGGCACAAACATCCACGTACAGGAACTTCAGCTGTTGTCAAAGATGGTAACTATAATCTTACTTTGGAAAGGCTTTGTTTGTTCTTCATAAATAGCAACGGGCAGTTGCTTTGTCCCTGTTGGATCTTTCCGGAATCACATGTACGTTACAGCAACTCATCGGATCGAACGCCAAAGAATTGAATCATACCACACGTAGTCAACAACTTCAACGCACTAACATCAGAGCCTGTGGATCGTTGTCCTTATTTGAACTGTTGGCAACAGTGAGTCAATCTACAATCTGTGCAGTTGAACCGCGGTCGAGTTTTGATGGAGCCATATTCATCCATTTCCGATCATTTTGCAGATGCACCACTCTAAGTGAATTGTCTTTCATAGCTAGGTTTGGCGGTTGCTCGCGCCTACTTCTAGTCTGATTAGAATACTGTTTTCATCATTTTGGAAACTCGCTGTCGTGTATCACAGGCACACACACCGCAGGGTGAAAAACAATAAACGGAGCATGCCGCACTGGTCAGAGGGGCCTACCGCTAACCCGAAATAACAGGGTAACCCGGGAATTGAAGTAGAGAACCATATAAGACCCCAACCATTGGGATGAGCGCGATATTGAGCACGATGATAACGAATTGACTACGATCAAAGTAGGGTAGTGGTGACAAAATTAGAGACACCAATCACAGCACTGGAAACCGCTGGACCACCACGTGATTGTAAAGATTTGAAAACATACTGATTCTAGATTTTATTGGAAGGCTTTTAACGCACAAATCCCAAACGAGACTTTGAGTTACCGAATACAAAAATGGAAAAACATTATTGAAAATCGGTTCTCTCTAAGCTCGGGTAAACTGAATTTCATTTCGTCTGTTCGGGGAGCTCGGTAATTTGTTTGCAAACGAGATTGCCAAGTGGCACTGACGATAAAAAGTTTATAAACAAATCGCGAAGCTCGGCGAACAGACAAATTGGAATTACCGTTTATTGAATGATGCTTGTGGCTTGCACATATACAAACGATTGATAGCGAAATCGTGAGCGTTCTGTATTGAATTGTTCTGGAATTCTGCTTTCTGAAGTTACTTCTTGCACCAATCGCCCCTCCGATACGATATCACTGTATTTCAACAAACTCAAAAACAATATCCTGGCACTTCTCTAAACCCCTCTGTCACATCAAAAACAGAATAGTTCGAGTGACAGACGTGATTGGAATTTAAGAACACATATGTTAATAATAATAATAATATAGGTTAGTTAAAGGAATAAAACCCACTTAGAGACGTCCGGATTGTCTTTCATACGTAGGCGAGGTTTCCAACGTGTACCACCGCAGAGCGCTGTTAAACAATGAATGCATCGAAAACACGCTACCCGCCGGCAGCCATTGACCGAAAATTATGCATTAATAAATACGCTGTTCATAAACATCATCGTACAGCGAAATACAGTGAAGCGAACTTCACCGAACTCAGGTAATTTGTTTAAAAAATTTTATCAAGGCAAACTAATTTGTAACAGACAAAAATGTTTAATGTCGTAAATAAGTATCGACGTATTCAGTAAATGTTTGTACAGAAAAATCACATCACATCCGATACTGCTTGTTTCTTGTCACTAATTTGAGCAGAGAAGTGAAAATCATGGGTTCGCATTTCGCTACGTCTGGACAAATGTATACGGCAAACAGCTTGATTTTTATAGTCAGTGAAAAACCAAAGTAAGACGAGGGCAAGCATGCTAGTAGTTGCAAAGCACAACACAAGCCATGAAAAGCGGGGGGGGGGGGNGGGGGTTGACTTGTGTAGTGCCAATCTAACCAACCATTCAAGCTTTTTGCATAGGTCGGCCTGGTGATTTTGAATGGACGACAAAATTCACCCGTACTCCTCACGTGGAAGTGAACGATCACGTTCAGATTTTGGATATCGGTATTAACCGCCGACCGCACCGATCGATCGGTCTCCTGGGCGATATTTGCATTTCACCAACTTCCTTCAATACAAAATCGTGCACTGTCACAGAGAGCGTGACGACGCACAGAAGACTTCGTGAGGGATCTCTTAAAACAAGTGGCAAAATGTCATAGCTGTACGCACTGATCACGAAATACAAACGCATCGGAAATCACGGACACGTAAGCACTAAATCACACTGGTATTAGCACGACAGTATCCCACGTAATTGAGACAGGAGGAGAAGGCCACAGGAATAGCAGTTAATTTATTGAATGAAATCATAGGTTTTACATAAACAAGTCCATTGGCCATCCAAGTCTCTGCCAATCGCGTGCTATTATTTCTAGAGTGGTACAGCATCTGTCTGGGCCAAACGGCTTGATTGGTTGGAGAAATCGGCCTATAGTTTATAATCCAGAAGCTGACGTCACCTGGGAAGATTGATTCATCACAGTTGTCCGAAAACTGTAACGTGCCGCCCGTGATTTGAGTCATCTCGTAGGCTAGGATCAGCGCACACAAGCAAACGGATATCCCGATGCAATATTCGCCAAAGCATTACCGAAGACAGAAACCAATAACTGCCCCCTAAATGACAGTCTACCTCAAGGTAGAATGCAAAGGTGCCTGAACTATATTGTCAAACGTGTCCAGTACACAATAGACCCCGACATTGCTCTCACTACCACCCGGATACCAAAGACTATGGTGAAAAACACCATCAGCCAAATCACAATGCATTTATCAATTCAAATGAGGGAAGTTCAGTCAGATACGTCACCGAATATCCGAACACAACCCAAAATGGCTGAAACGGATCAAGGACAAATATCAAACTATTATTATATCGATTGGTCAGGAAAGATAATACAACATATGGCGGGGGATGTTGAAGGTCCCCCAGCTTATCAACGCCACCACCACCGCCTGACTTCCCCTATTTTGTGTGATGTGTGGCAGACATCTGATTGGCCAATTCTCTCTTCGCAGTGATTGATAAAACTGTACGAGAGAAAAGTGTCACTCCCACTCTCTTACTTGAGGTCATTTATAATACAAAATTACTGAAAATGCCGAGACTTTGACCACTTAAAATCACAAAATCGATCTATGCAAACAATGTAAATGACTGGGTACATTAGTATTACCTTGGTGATTAGCTCCCCCCCCCTTCTTCTTGCTCGTGGTTAATGTTGTACGTTGTCATTAGCAATCTTATGTTCGTCTAACGTTCGTTATTTCACTGACTGTAGAAATCAACTTGATCGCAGCATACAAGGACCCAGATGCAGTGGATAGATTTGTGCAAACTCATGCTTATGACTGCTCTATTTGAACTATGCATAGTGGAATACATGGCCGAGGGTGGGGGGTGGCTATAATTGAAAAAATGTTAGATCGGGATGCTGACTTATCGCAAATAATAACCTTATGAAAATCTTTCCCACCGGTCCGTTTGTATGATAAGGTTGACCCGGGGTGCGGACACGGTCCAAGGAGCTTGGACTGACGCCTCCCCTCCGACCTAGAGCCACGGCAACGATTTCTGATCGATGTATATAAGCAACTTTTAATCACAACTAGTGAAAACGATCCTGTTCTGTACTTTCCGATCCGAACAAAAAGGAAGAACAACTAAATCCAAAAGTAGAAGAGATGACAGATTGTGTGTGTGTGTGTGTGTGTGTGTG